GAAGCGGGTGAATCGACACATGTGCTTTCGCTTTTCTGGACACAGTTGCACGCATCTCGATCACTTTTCGTCAGCCGCGACAACCTGCTTCACTTGCATGGCACACTTTCGCGCCACACTCATACCACCGGCAGTGGACCATCTGCCCGTTTCGACATAGACGCATGGGCGTCAGACCAGGCCGGCAGGTGAACGATCTGATCAAACTTGAGCACAAAGTATCATTCTTGACCCATTTACGCTCAACTAATCGCCACTTTCTGGAAGTAAATTGTGACTAATATGCAGCCTGTGTAAAATGATCGTAGGTACCATAATCACAATGTTACTTGAATGATAACGTAGAAAAGAATTTTTTTACTAATTTCCAAATTGGTACCTTTACTTAAAAAGCCTGCATTGATTTTTTAGTGGCTAATAGTGAAATTCCCCTGGTTTCTCCTTCAAAATGGTAGCTCACCAAGGCTTGACTGGAGCTTCTTCTTCATCATCATCATCATCATCATGACTAACACTAACACTAACAACAATAATATCAAAATCTTCATCAGCCTTATCAGCACTCTCGATCGCATCCAAAAAAGTTTTGCGACCTGATCTAATTAAAATATATTAAAAATTTGAGGTCTCTCTATGGCATTATTGAAAAATTAAAATATTAGTTGTAAATATTTATTCATAAATAACTGATACTTTAGAAAAACTCATTTCAAAAATACATTTATTGGTAAGTTAGATGGTCCCCTTAGTTCCATTCTGCTAGGAAATTCGCTGACTGTCTAAATATTTATGTTGGTGTGCTGTTGGTATGCTCAAATGCCGGAAAATTACAAAGCAGAAATATAAAACCACTTGTTTGTCAATTAAATCAGCTTCAAATGAGCTTATCAAACCATGCCTGATTAAGTTAATTTACAGATACATTAAAAATAGAATTAATTTTTTTCTTTTAATTTATTTGAATTATCACGCACGCTTACGTATTCTTCGCTCAATTATACAGAATGCTTAAAATGACGGTTTTTTGGTATCATTCCGTCTCTCATTTCGAGCGTCGATATCTGCAAATGCTACAGTCAGAACCATATAAATTATGTCGTAATCTCAAAGAGTTATTTGGATACTTTACTGTTTCATTAAAGCTTTTCTTGCTGAAAAATTTCTGCTAAGTGTTCATCCTTTTACTTTGTACTCTATCGGCGAAATGCAAATGGAAAAGGGTATCTTTACTTCTAAGCCTTGAAGGAGCCGAATTGATCCAAAGTTTGGGCATCTAACCAAGGTGGTAACAGATATAATTTGCCGTCAATACTTTCAATGCTTGATAGGTCCATTAGAAGTAAAACAAGCATTCTTGGAATCGTGCCTATTCTTGCGAAAATCCTTATGCTCCAATGAATTAAGCAATTTTCCTTGTCTGGCCGATCTGAAAGCAACTTTGTTGCAATCAACTCTATTTATTTGGCGGGTTCTGCGGTGTGGATATCGAGAATCCGAAGATGAAAATAAGGCTAAAATATCTTGAACTTGAAATAACACAAAAAGACA